TTCTTAAACTTCAACAAAACATTCAGACTGAGGTAGCATTTATTTTGTCTGTATCTTACAATAATTTGCCTACTTGAGTTTTTGTTGATTTTATGAAGCTGCTGTTTAGGATCCTTCACTTTAGTTTTGAGTATTGAATCAATATAAAGGTGAAAGAACTCCTGTCTTTTTGTCTGTATCCCAAGTTGGGATGGGACTGTGTTCTTACCTGTTATTTTTATGTTTGTGTCTTTCAGCCAGTTGAACATGTTCTATCAAATGAAAAGATTCTCTGTGGAGAAATTTAAGAGCTGGAATTTGAGAACATGGAGCTGGTGCACCAGAATGCTGCTCTGAAGGTGTGGACTTCTAAAGTCATCCAGCGAGGGTTGGAGTCTAAGAACAAGGAGATGCACAAGACGTTGATTATGAAAAAGAAGGAAATGAAGTCTCTGAACGCCCTTCTTCACCTCCAGCAGGCTGAGACCCAGAAGGTCAAGGAGGAGCTGACAGACTTTGACAATCAGTTCAAGGCTGCAAAAGTCGTTCAGAGAGGGATGGACAGAGAGAACAAAGAGATGAACAAGTATTCGACAGTSAAAGAGAAAGAAGTAAAGTCACTGAAAGCACATCTCCAACAGCAGCAGGTCAAAGACGAGATGAAYAAAAGAATGAAGTCATTGATAGTGTCAAGACTGAAAACATGGCACTGGTCAACACCAAGCTGAGGGTCATTCAGTCTGAGATCCTCCAGAGCGAGACGGACATGAAGCTGAAGGTCAACGCTCTGGAGGACAGTCTGAGGCCTCAGCTGGCTGAGAGGGAGGCCAGCTTCACCAAAATAAAGGAGCTGGAGAGACACATCAGAGACGCTGAGGAGAAGTGGCTCATCCTTCGAGAGGACTCAACACTATGCCGATGGAGGGTTTGAGTCCACAAAATCATTTAAACCATATTATGCATCTCTAAACCTAACCCTGTCACCTTTTGAATGATTTACGTCATGGTGATTTCATTTCCGTCCCCACAAGGAAGACAAGTCCCCCATAATGTGTTAACCAATTTAGGTCCCCATACATGCACACACACACACAGTTATCTGATGGATGGAGTATGTATACTGTATAGATGCCTCTGTTTGTCCTGCGTGGTGACAATTCCTTCTTTTCAGCCCCACATCTGAATGTGACTGCTGTTGTCGCCCTGGGCCTGGGGAGCTTATGTAATAATCAGTACCCTGCTTTCCTCTTCCCTGTGTGTGTGTCTTTGTGTGCGTGTGTGTGTGTGTCTGTGTGAGCGACAGAGAGGCTGTGATGAAGCCTAGGAAACACATGGGCAGCACTGGCTTCCTGTTTTTGTGTTGAGCCCTACTGGAGGGAGGAAGTGAGACGAACCACTGGTCCGCTCTTTCTTTCCCTATGATGGGTTAGGGTTAGAGGGGTAAATTCCATGCTCGTGCCACCCCTCCTCACTTACACTACAGATTAAGGTGATGGGGCTGGGGGGACTGGAGACTGTCATCTCTCTGAAAGCCAATAGCAATAAATTCAATTATTTCACTTGAGTACAGTGTGGAAGCTGCTAATGGTTTGCGATGCGACCCCAGCAAACAACCTTCCCGTGCGACCTTTACCGTGGAGGTGAACGACCGTCAGGCCTTCTCTCAGCAACAAAAGGAAGAGATTGCTTCTACTATATCACAAGATTTGTGTGTGGTAGTGAGTTTTATAGGCTTACGGTGTAAATCAGGAAGAATTCTGACCAAAACCAAGCAGAGACCCAGTGAGAACAAAGAACCTGGTGGTGGCGAAGATGGCTGGGTGGTTGCTTTGAAGGACTGATTAAGGTTATAATAGTCATCCGCCTGGCCTCAAGGCTTCAGGCTGTGTGGTTGGGGTGTGGGGGTGGGGCCTGATAAGGGGTAGAGGTAGTCCAGGCTGTTACACTGTCTTTGTTCTGGCCTTCTCCACTCATGCCTGCTTTTGTCTCCTCCCACAGTCTACCACTGAGAGAGAGCATTATCTCTCTATCCGTCTCGCGCCAAAACCAGGGAGGAGGGGTGTTGCTTCTTTCTTCCTGTTTTATTTCTTTCTTCCTGCTCTTGTTCTGTCTTCCTGCTCTCTTTCTTTCTTCCTGCTCTTTCTTTCTTTCTTCCTGCTCTCTTTCTTTCTTCCTGTTCTGTCTGTCTTCCTTCTCTCTTTCTGTCTTCCTGCTTTCTTTCCAAGGTACATTCTGTACCGAACGTGTTTGCAGGGCAACTACAGGTGCAGAGTATAGGTGCACAAAAGCTCCTTGAGTCCAGGACATGCAGTCCCCTCTCTCCCTCTTTACACTCTATTTCTGTGTTTCTTTCTCTCCTCCTCTTTCTCTAGAATTTCCCGCCAGTCCAGGGTACAACAGGGAGGGGGAGGCTAGGCGAGGGGAGTGGTGTCACAGCCAGTATGAAGAAAGGCTGGCTGCGCTGAGCCTCGCGCCAAATGCCGGCGTTATTCAAATTAGCTCAGTGGGTGCGGCCCCAACTGTCTCCACGTCCTGTTAACCCCCTCAGAGCTGCAGACTGGAACACAAAGGCACACACACACAGGCTCAGGGCCTAGCCAACACAAATGATGAATGTATCATTGGTGTTCCACAGACACAGCAGGGTGTGGAGTCTTTATTTTTCATATTTGAGTTCAGGAAACAGATTAGAATACTTTAATTAATATGAGTTGTGTTTTTACTGCTGCTTTTAAAGACAGGAAACGTAGTATTTCTTGGTATTTTCTCTACCCCAACCCTTACAATAAGCTTGAAATCATCACATTTTACCAAGCTTTCTTTAATGTAACAGAATGTCTGTCATTGTCTGATAAACTTTGAAGTTATTGAGATTATTCCACTCAAACCACAAGTCATAATAATACACAGACAAACATGAACATTTCTGTAGACAGGACAGCAAGTTTTAAAGTATCTAAAGGTTCAGAGTATTTAGGTTTTCAGATGGACTTCCTCTACAAGCAGAGTTTCTCTTCCACATCCTCTTTGTCTTCAACGCCCCCGAGCAAAGAAGGAGGCGTTGAGGTATCCAAGAACAGGACATGGAGGTTTGCTTATCCTTGACTACGCTCTAGTGGCTGTGAGCTCGAAATACAAGAGGTGACTGACACAGCTTTCAGTACCAGCACAACACAGAGACTCAAAATAATGAAGCCGCTCAAACAGGAGGCGATTTTCAGAACTAAATCAAATGTGTTACGGCAACTCAGTAAAGCGTAAACCTGAGCCAAGGCGCAACATTTCCCTTAAAATTAATCAAGCTGCTAAATTCTCTACATTAAAAATGAGTGACACTATGAAAAGGACTCAGTGCTGGAGAGGGAAAAGAAGAAGAGCAGAATTATATAATTACATACACTGATGTAATCAGTCTGCTAAATGTGCCTGATTTTTTAAAATCAAGATTCATTAATTATTCTCTGAGAAATGAAGAAAAATGTAATGAAACTCCTCATCTTGCAATGGTAACAAAAGTCCCTGATCTGGATCTGCCCCATAATTGAATGGGTTATTCTCTCACCTATACTACATCCTTCTACCAAGTTCTATGTAATCCAACCTGTAGTTTTTGCAAAATCTTGACCGATTTTGCAAAAACAGACCGATAGGGGTGAAAACATAACCTCCCCGGGAGAGGTAAAAAAAAAAAAAAAAAAGTCCTGTACCTATATCATTGTTGGGACACACTTACACACAATAAATTCAAACACAATATAAACACTTAAGAGAGTAAAAAAGATTGTATTCATAAATACTGACCATGGTCCCAGACAATAAACTCATACAACCCTTCAGCCGTCCTCAATTAATCAATAAACTGTACTGTGCCTGCAGCAGGAGAGTGTGTGATCACATCCGGACACATTATCCTTAGTCAGTTAGATGTGCGGCAACACTTTGTGATGTTGGGCTTAATGTGTGCTGCCCCTAGGAGCAGTGTGCTCCAAGTGTATAGGTAACAAAATAAAATGTCACAAAAACAGTTTGAAGAAATATTTTTTTCTACCTATTTTTTATTCCTGTTCAACCCCAGTTGTGCTTTTTCTAACATACTGTGTGCAATCATGTCTGATGTCAACAGTCAATATGTGATGCCTCTGTAATGCTGAGAAGTGAATAAAGACGATGGCGGTACTGGATGCGATGGTTTGCAGCACGTCAGGCTGTCTCTATTATCTTTATGTTCCTCGTGTCCCTGCAAAGACGTCTGCTCAGCGTCGTCATCTCAGAAACCATCTGTAGCTGGTAAATTGCCGTAAATGCTTAGCTAATATTATTAATAATGCATTCATACTCTTCAAAGTGGAACACACACTTTCATCTCATCCCCCTGCATCACCTGTCCCTTTCTCTGATTGATGCCATATTTGGAGAGCTACACATGCAGTCTGATGTCCCTGCAACCAATCAGATAATGGATGCGGGTGTACCAGCCCCTTTGACTCCCTGGCTGTTGCCTGGCAACTGGGACTGCTGCTTTGTGTTTCAATCCACGGCAGCATCCTGCAGGGGTTTTCACAAGGAGGAGGCAAAAGGAAATATCATTAGATGCACAAGAGGAAGCAAATGACCCAGGACGGACTTCATTTCCCAGACTGCTGAGCAGGAACATGTAATGTAATGAAGCACATGGGATGCTATTTTTATTTATAACATCTAAAACAAAATAATAGATATTCTATTGGTTTTAAAGATCGATTAAAGCACTGTATGATTTAAAAAAAAGGTTTTCTTATATGTTCACAGAGCTATCAAGGTCCACCTCTCTTTTAGCTGAAGATTGCATTTCAAGCATCACGACACAGCCGTGCTTTGACATACCGGTCTGTTCTGTCCAACGGGTGCAACAACTTGCTGTCACATACATTAACTAACATGCTCTGCTGCTGCTCCAGGGGACCAGACTCTGAAAGGGTTAAGAAAAAGGGGGCAGGACGCAAATGGCTTGAAGTCAATAGTGTGTGTGTGTGAGGGAGAAGGAACACATAGTAAGACAAGCACAGAGGAGCTCAGCAAGGAACATAATACAAGTGATGCTATGAGAAGAGGAACCGCTTCAAACCAGCATTTTCCTGAATTTCTCTCCATCTCTCCTTCTTCTTCCTGCATCTCACTCCTGCTCTCTAGCTGAGTGCCTCTGCAGCTACATGATCAGACTGATGGAGTGAATTTCCTGGGTGCACCAGGACAGGATTCAATTGTGAATGCATAGGAGTGAGTAAGGACTTTTTTGCGAGCTCCAGCAAAAGAGAGAGAGAGAGAGAGAGGCAAGGAAAGAGAGCCATCAGAGACACACACTAACTCAGTGTGGTCCTGAGGAACAGAAAGCTGAAGAGGTACAATGAGTCTAAACAGTCAAACTCTGGCCGTCAGTGGACAGGATTTGACCAGAAATGGCAGCAGCAGCAGCTGCAGCAGCAGCAGCAGAGCCCCCTGGGAAAATGGGAGTATGGGTTTGAAGCCCTCCACCCCCAATAGGAAACCTAAACCAGTGAGTATCTCTCCTTACGCAGCATCCATTCAGTTTCTGTGAGTTTCCCAGTCTCCATAATGGTTTGACAGCAAAAATGATGCACATCACATTAAGTACAAGTGAATTAAAAAAATAACTTTCTGTCATCACATGAATTGTGCTGCAATACTTGCTGGTTAAAGCCTGCCAGCACACACTGGTTTTAACCATGTGAGACTGTCTGTCTCAGTCACATGATGAAAGACAGATGAGAGAACACAGATGCACTGACCTGGTGAAAACACAAAAAGAGTTGTTTCCAGGTTCACAAGCGAGTGCTGCATCATTTGAAACCTGCAGACAAATGCAAAGAAAGTTGCAGAAAGAGATGTTATTGGGTGATACGGGAACAGAGGCTCAGCATCTGTGCAACACATACAGGGATGTTATATCAGGTGCATGGTTTCTTTGGATTTCAAAATACAAAAACATATACAGCAACTGCAACTTCAGGCACTTGCAGGAAGCAGGGGACGGTTTCAGTTGTAAATCTGATTCAAATATGTCATAAAAAGAATGTTTAATGTTCTTTAAATGTGGAAGTAATTCTTCATCTTGTGGACACTTTGCAGGGTTTAGATTGATTAACAGTCAAATCTGTGAGTTCAGCCAACGAAGCCTCCAAAGAGTTAACAGGTGTCAACCATTCATTATGTCTTCCAGGGGAAAGTATATTATATCACTGTCACTGCTCTTCAACTCACTCATTTGTTAGCATGTTTGGCATCGGCAATGAAGCCTTTATCAAATTGTTCCTGTCTGAAAGGGACTGTCAGAGTCTGCACATGAGCAAAAGTTTCCTCATTATTGTTACACTGCTGATAATGAATTATGAACTGAGTCTGTGCAGAAGGAATAGATACAACTCTAAACTCAATTTCAAAACATCAACTTCTCCTCAAATTCAGAAACAATCCTCTGTGTGTGTGAAGCGTTAGGCAAGGCTGCATGAAACTAAACTTTTCTTTAATCTGTCATCCTCCAGCCCAAGCCAGAGAACGCCATCACCATCGCTGTGTCGTCTCGAGTCCTCTTCAACATGGAGAAGGAACAGCAGATCTATGAACAGCAAGGCATGGAGGATTACATCAAGTATCAGGTGGAGCATGAAACGGAACCTTTCAGCCCAGGACCTGCCTTCTCCTTTGTCAAGGTCAGAGACGACGAGTGGAAAGATGAGGAGAGACATTCACAAGCAGGCACCAGCACACACTTATACACACACACACAGTATATCAACCCCAATGCAGAGGGATTCCTTGGTGTCACTTTTATGTGCTGGGTCGTGTCTCTGGAGGCGGTGGATGACTAATAAGCTTTAAACATGAACCCACTCAAACACACCTCCAGCTTCTCTGCAGTAAAACTGTATTATCCTTTCTTCTTATATATTAAATCTTCACACACACACACACACACACACACACACACACACACACAC